AAAATATGAGAATTCATTGTTCATACAAATGATTTTTGTGTGCAATTTATATTCAAAACACATGTAAATATAATGACTTTCATCGCTAATTGAATTACAAATTGTGTGTCACTTTTGTATTTTTTCCCATTCAATAGGAAAAGTGTATCTAATTTTTTGTTCATTCAATAAATTATAATTTATTAGTAAATAATTTTATTTCAAAACAAATTTAATAATAGCTTAATGTTATTATTAAAAACAACAAACTTATTGTCTGGCTTTAAAAATGTGGGTTTGGGTTTGGAAATCAAATTTCGGTTATGTATTAATTAATTATGATTATTATTTTGATAAATTGATATTTGAGGGCACAATCAATGGCTGTATTGCAATACCACGTATACACTAATGATTGCTAACAACTTTATATCGTGTGTAACTCATGAGGACAGGTGTTATACCACTGATTATCTTATTTACTATACAATGCATAATGAAAGGCCGGTTCAACGCAACAGTCTTTTATTTATAATGACTTCACTTTCACAACAAACATACGAGAAAACTATTAATTATAAATCAATTTCTGATTGAACATCATTATTAACACTCTCTCTCTCTCTCTCTCTCTCTCTCTCTCTCTCTCCTCCAAAATTACACGATTTAAACATTGAAATAAAATGAATTGACTGAACTGTTTGTGGCGATTCTGGTGTTACAATAGGACCACTTATAGGCGGAATCACTTGTGGCCACAAATGCGTCCCGAAAATAGACGAAAAGCCAAGCGATGGGAACAGAGCTGTAGAGACCGTAACTAATGTATGTCAACAGAAACGCCGCTCCAATTCCTACATTATATTAGATTTTAAATATTGATTAGAAAATGTTAATCAAAATATGCGGTTATATTTAATGCCATAAATATCGCATACCTTTAAACGCCGGACTTATAAACCACATGTCATAAAAACCTGAGCCTAAATACTGGCCCAAAGACATCATCAGCAATAGGAAGGGCAGACCGAAGCCGATGCTTAAGATCAGGAATTGAATTATGAACGGACCTAATGTTCAAATAAGACATAAAATTATTGTTTTATGGTTTAGATTTGATTTTAATGTACACTTTGCGTAACAATTGATACGTTTAGTGCATGTCTTGAGATAATTGAATGAATGAAAGGAGTAAAACGGGAATTGAATTGAAAACAATCGCCCAAAACAATAGGCTATAACACAAAAGTGAGTTTTCGAGTCGATTTAACTCAAAGATATTTGTGAAGAGTTATCACGAATTAGACTCAGTTCTCAGCGTTCAGTGTATTAGAAAAATTAGTCCATTGAATATCGCTATGTATTTATAAATAGTTTAACAAAAAAACTTTCAAATAACTAATATTATATAAATACTAGATATTATGATATATATTTAGAAATACGGCAATTTTCTTCTGTATAAAAATATAAATTTAACAATAAATAAAAAATAACATTATATTTGACACGTTATCTAAATTCCTTACACGAGAAAAACAAAAGTTTGACAAACAGTATGTTATTTACTCGTCTAACTGTTCAGAACTAATTATAATTATTTCTAAAAAAATTAATACATTCTAATGAAGCAAAACTAATGTTAAGCCAAACAATAAACATGTATTTGTTATTACTGTAGTCTATGATTTGTTTCAATCAACCAAATAATAAATGAAAAGTAAAAGTAAGCCTCAATAACAGCTACAATAGGCAAACATTGTGTTCAATCAATTCAAACTTATAATTGCTATGCGTTTTTGGTTATAATTTTATTTTTTATTAAAACACAAACTTATAGACAGATCTATTGAGAAGTGAAATGAGAAATAAGACAATATACTGTAATTGCATTGAATAAAATTCAAACAAATAAAAAACTGCTAAACAATAATTCCCTAATCAATAGCGGTTTGACTTAAGAAATCCCAATTTATAATACAATACATCAGCGATAAAGGGCTGATTCAGG